GGCAGTATTCAGTCAACATGCAAATCATGAAAGACTTTTTTAAATAAAAATTGTTGTAGCATGATTTGTTTGGCATAAAGCCTAACCTCAGACGCGTCAAAACAATGATATATATATATAAATATATATATATATATATATATATATATATAGAGAGAGAGAGAGAGAGAGAGAGAGTTATTGGCTTCCTCACCTTACGGTTCTCGAGTCGTTGTTTCTGTTCAGATTGCACTTGGGCCATTACATTGGCCGCCTGCTCTCCGCCCATCACACTGATACGTGCATTGGGCCACATGAACAGTAGGCGAGGAGAGTAGGCGCGACCTGCCATGCCGTAATTGCCAGCCCCATAGCTCCCACCAATAACCACTGTGAATTTGGGAACAGTGGCACAGGAGACCGCAGTGACTAATTTCGCACCATGTTTGGCGATTCCACCAGCTTCCGCCTCTCGGCCGACCATAAAGCCTGTGAGCATGGGCGGAACCGCGTGATGATGATCAGTGTTCGGGATAATGCGAAACAGATTAAAAGCAAAATGAGGCGGTAAAGAACCAACCAAGCATGCATTCATTGAGTAGATGATTATCAACACGGGGAATTCGCACTCACTGATTTGCCGGTGATGCCACTCTCCATTATTATTTTGTTTTCTGCCCCACAACCCGACAGGCCACAACCAATATTGATCAGGATAGCAATGTCATTAGTGTTGCTCTTGCCTCCAACCTCGTATTCATCTGCGCATGTGGTTCTACCTACCATATGTGTTTTCAATGTTTCAGAACTTCTTCCCTTTGAGTTTCTCTTAAACAACTGATTTTTGACTCGCAACTCTTTCATTTCAAAAAATTCTTTCTCCCTTGGACTTAAATTCTTGGACATAAATTCTTCTCTCTGTTGGTCCCCTTTATTTCCACACTCGGCTCTTGCGCACCGAGCGAAATCACTTTTTATTTCGTACCAGGCACTTCTTTACACCAAAGCACCTTATCTTTTTATACAAAGTTCAATTCCGCCCGATGCTCGAATACTGCAGTCACGTGTGGAATGGAGCTTTGTATTCCGCTTGTTCTCCTCTCGACCCTATTTAACGTAGGGCTATCAGACTGATCGAGGAACCGTCCTCAAATTCCAACCGACAGTCGTTTTCCCATGGCCGGTCAGTTGCTTTGACATCTCTTTTGCCATCGTTACTATTTTGATTTCTGCTCTACCGAACTCGCTTCAGCAGTTCCCCTTCCGTTAACCTTTTCTCGTGCATCTTGTTCTCAGGCGAACAGTCAACCTTATCAGATTTCTGTCCCCCGGATGTTTCTTTCAGTGTTCTTTTCCTCCTCAATACTGTGAAACACTCTTCCTATCTCCGTGTTTCCAGGCCCTTGTAATCTTACTCTTTTCCAAAGCAGGGTTAACAACTTAGTTCTCACTTGAATGTTACCCCACATACCTTCCCCTTTACAGTATGTTACTGACTATGGCGGTTTATCCCTTTTGCTGTAAATCACTTTATGTAGAATAAAAAAGCAGATCATTACGGTACCGTACCAATAGGTGCCAGTCTACCAACTCATTAGGAAATGTGTACGAAATCCGCAGCAGTGTGCTTTGCCCTGAGAGAGTTTTTGGGCGTGTTTGTGATTGGAACCAGAGCTATTGACAACTCGTATTAGAACAGTATACACGTTCCAATATAGGATGATTGGGCGGGGGTGTTGCACATTTGACTAGATAGGCTTCATCAACATACAACGTTTTGTGAGTGGAAAAACGTCCAGGGCGATCAAGCTAAAATCTGGATTACTAGTATGAAACCATGAACAGGTGACTAGATCACATATACATGGGTTTGAGCTTCCCGGTTGTACAGCTCCTGGTGAGAGTAATCGCAGGTTCGACAGACTGAGTGACCTAAACAGTACAACTCATACATTTACTCATTTTCTTCGCAAATTTGATGTAACCACATTCTGTGTCCTCATCCTGAGGTACTGCTGACAGCTTTCTACTTCTGTCCTCTACTCTTTCGTCTAAATGGGTGGCCAACAGATCAAAACTAAAAATGACGAACGAGGGTGCAAGGTTAACGACTGTATGAACTGAGCTGAACTGATCAGTCATGAATGTACTCAAAAATCCCGAGTAGACAAAGTTTAGTGAATGCACCTAAAAATGATCTCAGGGTGAGTCTCTTCCGACATCTGTGAAAGAATGAAAGATCAATCAAAACGGGCCTACATTCAGGTGAACGAACACGTAGAGCACCAAAGGAAGCTCTATATCTCCCTTGTCAACAAGACGTGAACAAAACTGCCCCCCACCACCACCACCACCACCACCAGCAATTATAAGAGGTAATGGCCTACATTAATGATGCCTTAACAGTTAACGCATTCAACAAACTTTAGTCTTTGCGCACCGCCGCGCCCCCTTGACTGCAATGCTTCGACCAGCCAGAGGCTACGATTGTGACCATAAGGAAATAAAAATAATCTCCTTTGGTTAGGGCAGCTTTGCTTCACCGTGCCCACATACGTACAAGCCTGTAGAACCACTACTTTGTGGGTACACCATTGTCTTCGGTGCTATCATCTACCTCAAAGTATGAGACGGGGAAGAATAAAAAAAAACGACTACTAACCTGTAATATTTTGCAGGAACAGAAGCGGAATGCGACGCTGACAGCATAATTCGATGAAATGGGCACCCTTGACAGCCGAGTCCGAGAACAGCACACCATTGTTCCCGAGGATACCAATAGGAAAACCCCAGAGATGTGCAAAACCTGAGAGAAAAAATAATAGGAATGGGTAGTACTTGATCATCAGGTGTCAACAAATCATAGTTTTGTTGAAACTGTGAAAATTTCAGTAGCCTCGACGGGATTTGAACCCACGCATGGACTCCGCCTAAGCTTTTGAACAGTGCACGTTCTACGAGGTCACACCGATAGCACTGACCTTCTCAAATTCGAATCACCCATCCAACTTACAGAGTCACATGGCATCCACCAGATAGCATGTAAGCTGAGTGCCAAGACAGGTTTTCCTTAGAACTCATTGGAGTCCACCGAATGAACTTATATAAGGCCAGGTCAATTGTTCAAACTGTTGTTTGGCAGATTGAAGTCTTTTGTTGAAACTCAGAAACTATGGCTCAACGGAGTACACATATTCACACTTCAAACGCTTTATTTCAAAGCAAAAATGATCATCAGAGTACCAAATATCCCACAATAAAAGCCTATTAAAACCGAAAGAAAACCTTTATTCAGTTCAGTTTTTACAACCATTAACCATGCACTTTCGTGCTCCGGTTTTGGTTGCTGTCTTTGGGCTGCCCATTAAGATAAAAGAGCGAATTGAAGATTGAA